AAAAAGAGACCATTTTTGCTTCTCATCTTCAAAGAATATTAATGAAATGTGTATAAACAATGTCAACCATATGGTGGGAGATATCATGTGTCACCTTCTCATTTTTTTTTTAAATTATTATTTGGTATATTCAATTTGATGGTTTGCCAATCTGAACATATCTTAGTAGATAAAATATCAATTATCTTCTTAAACGTTTTATATCAAATAATTATTTTTCTTTTTAAATATCTAAATGAAATAAGTTATACATTAATTAAAATATAATAATATTAAACGGGTGTGATATAGGTTGTTTATATCAATTAAAATTATAACTTAATATTTACGGTTTAGATTGATAATCATCTTGTGCTCGTATCATTATTTAAAATAATAAAACACAAATAAATCATTAAAAAAAAACATGTAAAAGTGTGGTTTTTTATTTGGTAGTTTAATGTCATTGGTATGGAGAAAACGTGATAGTGGGAGTGATCTCAAATCAAAATTAAAACAATTTGGTATCAGTTAGTGGGTGACAAAAGAATCTCAATCTTTTCATTATAAAAATAATAAATTTTCTTTTTTTATATTTAGGGTTTGTCTTTTAAATTATTTCTATTCTCTCCGTAATTAAAAAAATTAAAACACACAGGTATAATATTTTAATATAAGTTTGGATATTATTTTAATCATTATTTAATATTAATATATCAACATACAAATATAAATCTTGAGTTCAAATCCTCTCCTCCATATATTTTAGATAATAAATTTTTAAAAGTTTCAAAAATATTTTTTTTAAAAAATAACTTTTATCATGAAATTTTTGTTTCAATTACCCTTTACTTAAAAAAATAAATAAATAATAAAACACTCCCACTAAAAAAGATTTATTATTTCTCTTAATAAAAATAATAATAAAATTTTTAACCATAATCTTCACTCGTAGTTCTCAACGAAAAAATTAAATTGATATTCGAAAAATCGTATAGATATTATTTAATTTTTCGAATTTAAAAATTAATTTGTTGTGATATAAATATGTAGCTTGAATTTATTTAGCTTATTAGGTTAAAATACAATGACTTGGGAGAAAATTTTAATATAATGTAACCGTAAATAAATTAGAAAACTTTATTTAAAAAAAAAAAAGAAATAGAAAGATAAATAATATGGAAATAAAATAGGAATTTGAGATCAATTATATATTTCATGGCCCACCCAAAGGAGGAAGTCAAATTGGACACGCAACGGAACGCGGTTGCAAAGGGGTAAAACGGCGTCGGCGAGTGGTAAAAAATAAAACCTTTTTTTAAAAAAACAAAATATAATAAAAATATATATACGAATGGTAATGGGTGCAGATACGTGGCACAGCGTTTAAGGCAACAGGTGGCGTGTTTGGCAGGTGAGGACTTTGAATGCCGCTGACAACGCAATCCAACTAAACAGCCTCTTACATCCTCTGGACAGTGGACAGGGCCCCACGTTTCCGCGTCAGCTGTACCACACGTGGACGATGGTCCATAATTACCTCAATTTTACAAATTAAATACAAATTATTTCATTTTTAATTCATTTCATATTATACTCAATACATTAGTTTTTTTAATGTATTAAACTAAAATTGAAAGTAGACAAAATTTAAATACATATTAGATATATTTTACGTCAGTAATGATATGTAATATTTTTTAAAATTAAAAAATGAAAAACGAAATGTTAGTAGATAGAGGTGGAGTGACGAGATTCACCAATTATTTTTTTATAATGGAGTATAAGGACGATTCAAAAGTAGGCGATGAATCATGTGGACGCAATGGTGAGAACCATAATTGAAAGATATTTGTTTTAAGTTATAAAGTTATAAGACACTACAAAAATTTAATGAGAGGATACCCATGGATATTAATGCACCCAAGACAAAGTTTCCCACTTAATTTTTTTGTCTCTATGTTGTGTTGTTTTCACTTCCTTAGCTTATTTCATTTATAAGCCCAGCTGTTTGTTTTTGTTTATTATTATTATTGATGATGATATTAATTTTGATGGGTGGAATGTCGTCATATGTGCAGGTAGCCGAAGTTTTGGCATTGATTTTGTGTAAGAAAGTGGCTGAGGTCTTGTATGAGTTAAATTATTTGGAAATAATGTGTGTATATGGCGTCCGGATAAGTTTGATATCACTTTGGGATGGATGAAAAATGTGATTTTCAAAGTTGGAAATGCATGAACGTGGTAAATTTGTTAAATGAGACAAACACCTAACCTTGTAAAATACTTAAATTTGTCATACTCGTTTTGATCTCAACGTTTGAGATCAAGAAAATGTGTAAAAAACTTGAACTTAACTCTGTCATAATTATCCATTTATACGAATTTATGTCTCACTTTCTCTTTTAGATTAGACCGAAAGGAGTTGAACCAAACTGGTGGAGATCTACTTTGAGTAAGGAGACGTTAATGGGTTAGGTTGTATTGCCTTTTGGTTCAAGAATTTATTAATGAAGTTTGACAACGACTTATAGAAAAATAAATATATTTTTTTAATATAGTTTTGAATATACTCTTAAATTTTGAAGTTTTATCCATTGTATTTAATATTATAGTATATATTTTTTCTTAAAGAAATATATGTTGATTAGATTTTCTAATAGAAATTATATTGCATAATGGAAATCTTTTATATAAATACATAATAATAATAATAATAATAAAATCTATGTGGAACTCAAGATAGATACACCGAGAGTTTTTTCATCTTACGTCTCATTGTATATATATCTCTAACTATACGTCGTCCTAATCTCTTGAACTTTTGGGCCAAGATATGTATAGGATCTGGTCAATTGGGCACGAAGCTAGGTCAACTTTTTCTCCATTTTGGCCTAGGTCCATGTTTCCATTTTGGTCCTCTCACACTAGTTTTAGTTAGTTCAAAATAATTAATTATTTCCAATTTTCTATACAACATATTATAATCTCTTGATTATATAATATCGGTAGATAATATAATAATATAGCATTTAGGCTCGTGTGCCTGATTTAGTAGCCTTACAGAGACAAAAGAGTTAGGCACCGCCCTATGTACTCACCATTAAAGAGTTAGGACAACAATAGCTCATTTATATCTCGCTATGTTCTACTCACTTTTATAAAGATAGTTTCACATTAAAAAAAATTATTTTTTAATCGAAAAGTGATTAATTAATGTTAGTAGATATTCAAAATACAATTATTAATGCATAGATAGCTCAGGTACCTAACACAATTTATAGGAAAAAAGATGTAGGAATTCAAAGGAATCCCAGAAAGAACATGAAAAAGAAGCCAAACAGGAAAGGAGTGTTATTATTATGATTCAAGGTACTGAATTGAAGAGCTGTCATATCGGAACCAAGCTGGAAATTCCAGCACGGTGGGGAAGGAGCTGAACGACAGGCAGCTCCATTGACCAAATCTTGATTCCATTGGTTCTGCATCGCTATCTTTCTCATTATTTTTCTTCTTCTTCTTCTTCTTCTTCTTCCATTCATAGATCGCCATGCCTTTGCCCTTTCCACCACAACTTTGTTTCTTTACCTTCTTCTTCCCTTCGTTATCCGTTCGAGTTTAGAATTACGTGTAATAAGTTCATAAATTTTTTTTGAAAAATAGATTTTTAGAATTACGTGTAATAGGTTAGATTTGGGTGTGACATTTTTTTGATCAGTTAATTTGATAAGAGTATTATAAGAATAGTAACATTTGACATGATGTTACCTTAAGGTTTAAAAGAGTATTATTAGATTAAAAATATTTGATATTGGTAACTGATGTTAGTTGTGAATGTTTGATATTTGAAGTTTTAGTTATTAATATAATATGTATTATAAATAAGTAAAATTTTTAAAAAATAATTAAAAAAACAATTTTTCTATGATGTGAATCTCTATCATGATTATTTGAATCACCAACTCAATAACTTGGAAATTTACCGTTCACCTAAAAGAATTTTTTAATACAATTTATGTACATCCTAAAAAAAAGTTATTTTATTTGTGGCTTGAAAATAATGTTAAAATAGTTAAAAGTCACTTTTATCGAATTTAAATTAAAGTTCTAAATCAAACGTCAAGTTGATTTAAAAAAATAAAAAATATAATTCAAAACAATCTTATGTATTCTAAACATGTTTTAATTAAGAATCTTTTTTTTACTTGATTTTTGAAAGTTTGAAATAAAAAAATAATAAGTTGTTTAATAAAAAAGTTGTGAATTTTATATTATAAGTGTCACCCGAATAAAAGAGATATACATAAAAGAACCAATACTACATTTAACAAGAGTAACCGTGACAATAAAATGACTAAAAAAGACTTACAAGAATTGCAAGTCACTATTTACACGAACAAATAAAATGTCGGTGTCTTTGCTTTAGGCTTTCCAAAAGGGCTCGGACCCATAGAGATAGTATTCATTAGCCGATGAGAGTTTCATTCAACAATAATAAGTCGGTGGAGATTTGAAAGCAGTAACGAGAAAGAAAGGAAGAGGAAAAGAAAGAAGGAAAAATGAGATGGAAGAGGCACACGAGGTGGGGGAGGATGGGTCCTTTGGTTCATGGGTTTTGGTACACTCTATTCATTTTGATTTACTAGCCAACCAATTGACACCGTGGGACTCAACCACCCCACGCCCACACCAACAACCAAATAAGAAACAAGAAATTAAAATATTATTCAAAATTTAACTTTTTATTTATTTATTTATTTTAATATCTTGGCTAATTTTTGAAGCATAACTCAACTTTGACTTAGTCAACTAATCTTTCCCATGTAATTACAAATTAACTCCTTCTAGAAAGAATATAAATGTTTAAAATTAAATTATTAATAGGCACCCGGATTGCAAAGGGTATGGCCCCCACTTCACATGCCAATGCTTTGTCCCTTAAACGCATCTTCAGCCTTCAATTTCTGTTCCATTTGGGCGGCTCTTCCTGTCCCCTCCTCTGTCCCCTCTCCCCTTTCCCTTTGCCGCTCTCTGCCCCCATTCCCACCGACATCTCCTTCTTCATCTTATCTATAAAACCACCCTTCCATTTCCAGCCTTTTCTGCTCTCACAAACCAAAAAATGGATTCCCAGCTTTCATTTCAGAACCATCTCAATCTCGAAGCCACCCAGCTTCGCCTCGGCCTCCCAGGAATCGACGGCTCTGCAGACAACTCTTGTGGGGTTCGAACTAACAAGAGAAATTTACAGAATCACTCTGCCCCTCCACCCAAGTAAGTGCCGTGTTTCGATTTTGACTCTTGTAATGGTTTTTGGGGCTCTGTTTTGATTCTCAATTTGTGTTTTTGTAGGTCTCAGGTTGTTGGGTGGCCGCCGATTAGATCGTTTAGGAAAAACACTCTCTTACCCAAGAAAACGGAGGCAACGACGGCGGCGGAGGGCGGAGGGATTTATGTGAAAGTGAGTATGGATGGAGCTCCTTATTTGAGGAAGGTTGATTTGGGTGTGTACAAGGGGTACCCTGAACTTGTGAAGGGGTTAGAGGAGATGTTCAAGTTCAGAATGGGGACATACAGTGAAAGGGAAGGGTACCAGGGATCGGATTATGCCCCAACTTATGAAGATAAAGATGGAGATTGGATGCTGGTGGGGGATGTTCCATGGCAGTAAGTTGTTGTAATAATTACTTGAAATTGCAGATCTGTGTTTGAATTACTGAAATTGATGAGCTTATTTGATTTGGTGATGAATTAAATGCAGAATGTTTATTTCATCATGCAAGAGGATGAGAATCATGAAAGGATCAGAAGTTGGGGGACTCAGCTGCGGCGTCTGAGAAATTAATCACTTTTTTGTTTTTTTTTTTAAATTACAGAAAGATGTGATGAATTTTTCATCATTTTTCTTTTTGCTCAAGTTTTGGATTTGTGTAACAAATTTGAGATATTGTAGAAATTTTTGTAGAATAAATTTGCTGATGAAATGAAATTGTAATTAACGTATACTTTTGTTGTAATGAAATTGTTTTCTTTTATATAAATATAATTAACACACACTTTGTTTTTAATTGCAAGTTTTCTTTTGATTTATTATTTATTTCTTTTTTGTAAATTTGTTAATATTAAAGGGGTGAAAGATCAAAATATTAATTTTTAGAGTGATAATAAATATTTAATTGGATTTGCACCACTGACTTTCATTTAAAGAATAGTTAATTTTGTATTGAAAGCTATTTTATTGCCTAAATTATGAGTTTATCTATTTGGTTAGTAACTTAAAAGAAAATATTTTAGAAGTAAAAAAAGAAGAAAAAAAAAAAAAAAAAAAAAA